GCGCCCCGAGAGCCCTTGGGTCGCCCCGACGCTGGGCTGGAAGCAGCTGTCGATGAGGAAGCGGAGGGGGCCCGGGCAGAGAGCTCCGGGGTCGACACGGTGAGGCGAAGCGGCGGCAGAGCCCTCGGGGCCTGTGTCGGGGCCTAGCGGACTGGGCTGGGCTCCGGCCGGTGGGCTCCGCCGGCCCGGCCCAGCGCAGAGGGGGAAGCGAGGTGGAGAGCTGGGGGCCACAGGTGCCGTGGGGGGAGGCTCGGGGGAAAGTGGGTCCGGGGAGGGGTGAGCCCCAGGCGCTGTCGGTGACCCAGGGAAGGGAATGGGTGTGTGGGTGCGTTACCGGGGGCGTGGGGTCGGGCCGGACGGTCGGGGTGGAGGCGGGGGCAGTCGGCGGTCGCGTCATCGAGAGTTCTGGACCTGGAGGGGAGCCGTGATGTTTCAGGCTGTTGGTAAGGGGTTTTGCTGGGGAGGTGGCCTAAGAAGGGCCCCGTGGGGAGTGGGCAGCGGTGTTCGTGAAGGGAATGGGTTACTAGGGTGAGGAGCGAGTCAGGCGCAATAAGGGTCGCCGGCTTGGTGCTGTCAGCGGGAAATTGAAGAGTGTCAGGCTCAGAAAGTGAGCAAATGAAAAAACAGTGTTTAAACTACTGAATGTGGCTTTCTCTTCGTGGCGAGTGTCATTTTCCCATTGGAGACTTACTGGTATCCCGTGAACTCGCTTTTTGAAGTCCCTTTGGAGATTAGTGATTTTCATTTGCTTGAGGAGGAGGGGGAAAATGTATCCTATTTGTAAGTGCTTTGATTCCAGACCGTTCCCTTGAATAATGCAAGATTTATGGACTAGGTTAAATTGAAGTGTAGTGGTTCTCATCAGCGCTGTCCGAGTCTCCTTCCGTGTGCCTTGCTAATTCAGTCATTTTACTTCCTTTTTCTGCCACAGGTGTTAGTGCTAATATTAAATTGCCCATCTTCCTGATAGATCAATAAAGAAAAGTTGAAGATGTTTGCTGAATGCAACTAGAAAGACTCTTAGCTTTATATTTAGAGACCAGCTAACTGGGGACATCAACACAGAGTTTGAAGGTTTTGCTTCCCTCGAAAAATTTCTAGGTATGTAGGGTAGCATGAAGACTTTTTTGGGTGTAATTTTTTTGAATTGAGGTCTCACTCTGTCGCCCAGGCTGGAGTGCAGTGGCACGAGTAGCTGGGACTACAGGTGTGTGCCACCACATTAATTTGTGTTTTATTTTTTTATAGTGACAGAGCCTTGTTATGTTCCCCGGGCTGGTGGCCTCAAACTCCTGGGCTCAAGCAGTTCTCTTGCCTCCCAAAGTACTGGAATTAACAGGCATGAACCACTTCCCCTGGCCTTAATTTTTTTTTTTAACTTTTTAATTTTTTTATTTTTAAGAGATGGCAATCTTGCTGTGTTGCCCAGGTTGGCTTTGAATTTCTGGGCTCAAGTGATCCTTCTGCCCTAGTCTCTGGAGTACACAGGACCACTGTGGCCAGCATAAAATATTTATTTTTTAGGAACAACATATTTCAAACCTATAATTTTATTTATTTATTTGAGTAGTTTTAGGTTCACAGCAAAATTGAGAGGAAGGAACAGAGATGTTCCATTACTTCCAGCCCTCACACAGGCATCGCCTCCTGCTTTATCAGTGTCTCGACCAGAGCAGTACATTTGGTACAGTTGATGAGCCTACATTGACAAAGCATTATCACCCGAAGTCCTTATTTACACTAAGGTTCGCTCTTGGTGTTAGAGATTCTGTAGGTTTAACAAGTGTATGATGGCATGTGCTCATCCCTGCTGTATACTCTCCAGAAGTCCTCTGTACCACCTGTTCATCCCTCCTTTCCCTTCCAACCCTGGCAACCACTGATGCTTTTACTCCCTCCATAGTTTTACCTTTTCCACAATGTCATATAGTGTTATGAGATTGTCTTCTTTCAGCTAGTAATATGCTTTTGTGTGTGTGTGTCGGAGTCTCACTCTGTTGCCCAGACTGGAGTGGCGCACTCACAGCCACCGCAGCCTTGACCTGCTGGACTCCGACGATCCTTCCACCTCAGCCTTCCAAGTAGCCAGAACTACAGTCATGTGCCTCCACACCCGGCTAATTTTTTGATTTATTGTAGAGACGAGGTCTTGCCAAGTTGCCAAGGCTGGTCTCAAACTCCTGGGCTCAGGCAGTCCTCTCGCCTCAGCCTCCCAAGGTGCTGAGTTTACAGGCTTGAGCCACCATGCCCGGCCAGTAATATGCTTTTATGTTTACTCCCTGTGTTTTCATGGTTTGAAACCTCACTTCTTTTTAGCCCTGAATAACATTCCATTTTCTGGATGTACCACAGCTTGTTTATCCATTCACCTACTGAGGGACATCTTGGTTGCCTGTAGCCTTTGGCAGTTATGAATAAAGCTACTATAAGCATCTATGTACAGGTTTTTTTTGTTTTTTTGAGTTGGAGTCTCATTCTGTCATCAGGCTGGAGTGCAGTCATCTACTCACAGCCACCGCAGCCTTGACCTGTTGGGCTCTGGTGATCCTTCCACTTCTGCCTTCTAAGTAGCTGGAACTACAGGTGTGCGCCACCATGCCTGCCTACTTTTTTGATTTATTGTAGAGACAAGGTCTCGCCACTTGCCCAGGCTGGTCTTGAATTCCTGGGCTCAGGCAGTCCTCTCGCCTCCAGCTCCCACAGTGAGGTGAGAGCCACCGCGACTGGCCCATGTACGGGTTTTTATGTGGTTGTAAGTTTTCAGTTTCTTTGGGTAAATAATGCAGAGTAGAATTACTGGATCATATGAGAAGAGTACCTTTTTTGTAAAAAAAAACTTCCAGACTGTCTTCCAGAGTGGCTGTGGCATTTTGCCTTCCCACGAGCAATGAATAAGAGTTCTTGCTCCACATCCTCACTAGCATTTGGTATTGTCAGTGTTCTGGATTTGGTCATTCTAACCGGCATTTTAATACTGGGATTCCCTAATGACATGATATGGAGCTTCTTTTTATATACATATCTGCCATCTTTATATCTCTTTAGTGAGGTGTCTCTTTTTGGGGGGAGGGTTGGAGTTCACTCTCATCCAGGCTGGAGTGCAGTGGCACGCTCATGGCTCACTGCAGTCTCAATTTCCTGTACTCAGGTGATCGTTCTATCTCAGCCTCTCGAGTAGCGAGACTGTAGTCACTCACCACTATATCTGCCTAATTTTTATTTTTTGTAAAGATAGGGTCTCACTGTGTTGCTCAGGCTGGTCTCACACTCCTGGCTCAAGCAGACTCAACCTTGGCCTCCCAAAGTGTGGGATTACAGATGTGAGCCACCATGCCTGACTGAGGCCATCATTTAGTGACCAAAAGTTACAGGTTTTCTCAAAGTAACTCCCTAACTTAGTGATTCATGAAGACACACACGCTATGTAAGCAGATATTTCAGAATCACTGGGAGTATAAACACACATACTTTCAGTATACTTTTCCCCTTAAGCCCCTCAAAAAGAAAACATTTGAGGGTTATCTAATCTCTTGCACCTCTTTCTGTCCTTACTTCAGTTCATCTTCACTTGAGAATTACTGTAATAGCTTTTTTTTTTTGAGTTGGAGTCTCACTCTGTCTCCCAGACTGGAGTGAGTGGCCGCTCCCGGCCACCGCAGCCTCGACCTGCTGGCGATCCTTTCGCCTCAGCCTTTCGAGTAGCCGGAAGTACAGGCGCGCGCTACCACCCCCGGCTGATTTTTTGATTTATTGTAGAGATGAGGTCTTGCCAAGTTGCCCAGGCGGGTCTCGAACCCGCGGGCTCAGGCAATCCACTCACCTCAGCCTCCCAAAGCATGGGATTACAGGCTGAGCCCAGCTTGTAATAGCTTTATGGCCTCATTGCTGCTGTTACTGTTAGGAATGTAGTCTGAGCAGAAAGGTGAGATTTGTGTGTGTTGTGCACAATGGGGCTCTACTTTTCATTTAATTCCCAAATTACTTCCAACAGTTAGGTAAATATGAGGAACTGAAAGTTCAGAGAGAGGTAGTTTGGCCAAGGTCACAAGCTAGTCATTAGCATGGCTTAGATTTGAACCTGCATCCTTCAGGCATTGAAATCAGTGCTTTCTTCATTGAGGCATTCTGCTTCATTAAAAAAAAAAAGTTTAAAATATCCTTAAAATTGTTCCAATGGAATTTTGATGTTTTTAGTGTAGTTAAGATTAAGCTGTAGTTTTGTTTTGTTTTTTTAGACAAGTCAAGTACCATAGTGAGAAGGGGGAAAGAGTAGAACAAAGAGTTTGATCTGTAACTGACTGAACGGTCTTCGAGCTAACTCATTACTTGCAGGCCAGCTGAAGGTTAACATTGAGAAGGAAAAAAGGTATAAAAGATGTGCTGATTTGTCAGTTTTTCACTACAAAAATATCTATGCAAATAGTGCTCAGAGATGAAAAACTTGCCTAATCGGCCTTATTTATTTATTTATTTTTTGAGTCGGATTCTCACTTTGTCGCCTAGGCTGGAGTGCAGTGGTACACTCACGGTCACCACAGCCTCGACCTGCTGGGCTCAGGTGATCCTTCCATCTCAGCCTTCCAAGTAGCTGGAACTATTGGCATGCGCCACCACACCCTGCTAATTTTTTTATTTATTGTAGTGATGAGGTCTCACCAAGTTGCTCAGACCGGTTTCGAACCCGTGGGCTCAGGCAGTCCTCTCACCTCAGCCTCCCAAAGTGCTGGGATTATAGGCGTGAGCCACCGCGCCTGGCTAGCTGTATTTTTGATAGCACATTTTAAGAGGGAGAGTAATAGTGCTAGTTCCCCTATCCCAGAGTACTGGAAACAGCACTGCCAGAGAGTCACAAGACTCTCTTAGTTTCCAGCATCTCTAATCAGGATCCTTTAAACTACGCTGTAAACTCTTTTTCTGTGTAATACAAGTGCATTCATTTTTTTAGGCTGTAGTCAGTTCTATTTAAAATAATTTGATAAATGGAAAAAATGAGAGGGGAATCCAGTTTTTAAGAAAGTTATAATTACTCCTGGCGGAGGGAGCAGAAATAGCAAGGAAAAGGAGGAGAGAGATGTTTTTAGGCTGAGAGAGTCCACTGA